GGGATGGGGATGGGAATAGGATGGGATGAAGATAGGACGGCGGCAGGGACAGGATGGCGACATGGACAGGATGGGATGGGGATATATGTCCCACCCACCGTGGGATGGGACCCCCCGGGACCCCCGACCCGCGCTGTCCCCGCAGCCGCTGCAGCCCATCGTGCACATCTGGGACTCGGCCACGCTGCTCACGCTGCAGCAGATCGGCCTCGGCAGCTTCGAGCGGGGCGTGGGCTCCCTCGCCTTCTCCACCGCCGTGAGTCCCTGTCCCCCCATCCCTCTGTGTGTGTCCCCCATCCCACATCCGTCCCCCTCACCGCTGTCCCCCCAGGACCAAGGCGCTTACCTCTGCGTGGTGGACGACTCCAACGAGCACATGATGTCGGTGTGGGACTGCGCCCGCGGCACCAAGCAGGCGGAGGTGAAGGTGAGGGGACCCAGGCGTCCGGACGGAGCGGGGGGAACCCCGGCATCTGGGGCGTGGGGTCCCAGGTGTCCAGGCTGACAGTTTGTGTGTCCCCCCGCCTCACAGAGCACGAATGAGTCGGTGCTGACGGTGGAGTTCAACCCCCAGGACAGCAGCAGCATCATCACCAGCGGCAAGTCCCACGTCTACTTCTGGACCTGGAGCGGGGCCACGCTCACCAAGAAGCAGGGCATCTTTGGGGTGAGGGGGCTGCCCCAGGGGGCTGGGGGGAGCTGGGGGGGGGGCGGGTTTGTGCTGATGCTGCTGTCTTTCCCCCGACCCTGCAGAAGTACAAGAAGCCCAAGTTCATCCAGTGCTTCATCTTTGACGCTGCTGGGGATGTGCTGACGGGCGATTCTGAGGGCAACATCCTGACCTGGACCCGTGCCACCGGAGATGGCCGCACGCCAGGGAAGGGTGGCAAAGGTGGGGGACAGAGATGGTGGGATGGGGGACAAGGGACCGTGGGGCAGCTGTGGGGGCTGACCCTGGTTCCACAGAGACGTACCAGATCGGGCAGCAAACCCGGGCGCACGAGGGCAGCATCTTCGCCCTGTGCCGCCGGCGAGACGGGACGGTGCTGAGCGGTGGTGGCAAAGACCGGCGGGTGGTTTGCTGGAGCCCCGCGCTTGTCCTGCTGCAGGAAGCCGAGGTGGGGGACCCGGCCCCCCCCAAAACCCTCCCTAGTTCCCCAAAACCTGCCCCAGCTCCCCAAAAACCACTCTGGCCCCCAGAACCTGCCCTGGTCCCCCAGATCCCTGAGTGCTTCAGGGCAGGGGTGACCATGATGGGGGGGTGGAGGGGGGTTTGGGGTGCCCCCCCTGACCCCCCCCCGCCTCTCAGCTCCCCGAGCGCTTCGGGGCAGTGCGGACCATCGCGGAGGGACCCGGGGATGAGCTGCTGGTGGGGACGACCCGCAACGCCCTATTGCGGGGGACGCTGGCCACTGGCTTCACCCCCATCGTGCAGGTGGGGCCGAAGGGGGTGGGAGGGGTCTCCCCATCATGGGGATGGGGTGATGATCCCCCCTCCCTGTCCCCCCCCCAGGGGCACACGGACGAGGTGTGGGGTTTGGCCACCCACCCCAGCTGCTGCCTTTTCCTCACTTGCGGCCACGACCGGCAGCTCTGCCTGTGGGATGGGCAGGAGCACGCGCTGGCCTGGAGCCTGGCACTGGAGGTGGGGGGGCCTGG